AGGTCTCACCAAGTTGCCCAGGCGGGTCTCGAACCCGTGGGCTCAGGCAGTTCACTCACCACAGCCTCCCAAAGGCGCTGGATTACAGGCTGAGCCACTGAGCCCGGCTTAAAACAGTTTTTGAACTTGTCAGTGTTGATGCCTATTAGTGCTTCTGTCAGTTTTTTGTTTTACCTCTTTCACATGGGCAAAATGTTTCCCTTTGAGGATTTTTTCATCCAGGGAAGCAAAAAGAAGTCGCTCAGAGTGAGATTAGGTGTACAGGGAGGGTGAGGCAAAGGGGTCATGCCATTTTTGGTAAAAACTGCTGAACACTCAGCACAATGTGTACAGGTGCACTGTCCTGATGGAAGAACCAGTCACCTGTTTGCCACAACTTGGGATGTTCTTCTGCAAACTGTGACACAACCTTCTCAGAATTTTCAGATAAAAACTTTGGTTGACCATTTGATCCAGAAGAACAGATTCTGAGTGAACTACAAAAGGCTTGCCCTTCAAAAGGTAACTGGTTTTTTGGGGGGGGTCTCCTCTCATCTATGTATATATATGTACAATATAGCTTTCATCTATTAACTCATTTAATCCCCACAACAGTGCTGTGAAGTGAGGTGGATACTCCGAAAATATTCACTTTACAGATAAGAAACTGAGGCACAGAGTGACTGAATATCTTGCCCAAAGCCACAGAGCTAAATTGGCACAGTCAGGTTTAAGCACAGACAGTCTGGCTTTGGAGTTCATGTTCTGATTTTCATACTGCACTTTTCTCTCATATTTGGAAGATTTCCCTAAATATAAGAAAAAGGTTTTGCAAGAGAAAGACTGAGAGAAATTAAGGTTAATGTCTCTAATATACAAAGAGCTCCTAGAAATAAAGAAAAAGATGAAAGCACCAAAGAAGAATTACAAATTCATAGGCAATTCATAGGTTTTCAAAGGGCCAGTAGACATTTAAAAAGATGTTCAAAAACTACTACAAAAAATTTCTAATTGAACAATAATGATACTATTTTGCTCTTCTATTGTGAGAGAATTCAGTGAATACTTAGCTAGTTAAAATGCAAATTGGCACCATGGGGCTTGTGCTAATTTAGTAGCATCTTGCAACTTTAAAAATGCACACTATAGGCTGGACATGGTGACTTACGCCTAGAATCCCAGAACTTTGGATGGCAGAGGCCAGTGGATTGCCTGAGTCCAGGAGTTCGAGATCAGCCTGGGCAACTTGACAAGACCTCATCTCTACAATAAACCAAAAAATTAGCCGGGCTCGGTGGCTCAGCCTGTAATCCCGCGCCTTTGGGAGGCTGAGGTGAGTGGATTGCCTGAGCCCGCGGGTTCGAGACCCGCCTGGGCAGGGAGACCTCATCTCTACAACAAGTCAGAAAACTAGCCGGGCGTGGTAGCACGCGCCTGTAGTTCCAGCTACTCGGAAGGCTGAGGCGGAAGGATCGCTGGAGCCCAGCAGTTCGAGGCTGTGGTGGCTGGGAGCAGCCACTGCACTCCAGTCTGGGTGACAGAGTGAGACTCCAACTCAAAAAATAAATAAATAAAATAAAATAAACCAAAAAATTAGGGGGTGTGGTGGTACATGCCTGTGGTTCCAGCTACTTGGAAAGCTGAGGTGGAATGATAGTTTGGGCCCAGAAGGTCAAGGCTGTAGTGACTGTGAGTGTGCCACTGGACTCCAGCCTGGGTGACAGAGTGAGACTCTGATTCCAAAAAGAAAAAAAAAACAAAACAAAATGCTCATTATCTGTGACCCCCAAATTTCACTTCTAAAAATCTACTTTTTTTTTGAGTCATAGTCTCACTCTGTCGCTCAGGCTGGAGTGCAGTGGCAGGCTCACAGCCACCACAGCCTTGACCTGCTAGGTTTAGGCGAACCTTTAGCTTCTGCCTTCCAAGTAGCTGGAACTACAGGTGTGCACCACCATGATCGGCTAATTTTTGATTTATGTAGAAATGAGATCTCGCCAAGTTGCCCAGGCTGGTCTCAAACGCCTGGGCTCAGGCAATCCTTTCACCTCAGCCTCCCAAAGTGCTGGGATTAAAGGCGTGAGCCACCGCGCCTGGCTACTTCTTTTTTTTTTTTGACGGGGTCTTGCTGTCTCGTCGATGCTGGAGTACAGTGGTGTGAACATAGTCCACTCTAGCCTTGAACTCCTACTCAGCCTCCAAAGTTGAAAATTTCTGTGCTCAAGTGATCCTGCTGCCAAAGCATTGGGATTACAGACATGAGCCACTGTGCCTAACTGCTTTACTCAATCTTTGGCTCTTTTGTTTAACTGTTTTCTCTTCTGTTCCTTGATTTGTTTCTCTTTGAATAAGAAATTGTGTGAATTTTTAAAAATTTCAGTGTTTGAAAGTTGTGTTAAAAAAAACCCTCAACACTGCTTTGATTACATTTGGAATACGTTGTCTGTTTTAAACAAAACAAGTAAAATGTCAAATTTCAGACTTTCTTCTTGCTTCTCCTGTTTGTTTGCTTGTTTAATAGAATTCTTATCCCCCAACTACGTCCTACAGCTCTAAGATGTTTCTTTCAATTTTCTGATAACATAAAATATATTTCCAAAAAAGAATACGGCATGCACACTAGGTTTAATGGGTTACACTTCTTGGGGAGGTTGTAATAGAGTAATGAATTAACAAGGTTGAAGCAATCCTTGTCAAGGACAGAGCAGGAAGTTCTATTTCTTGCAGTAACGATGAATAAATTAGGATTGAGTGTACCACAAGGCTGGGGTGTGGGCGTAAGTTAACTACTAGCATCTGTATCTAAGGACTACTTAGAAATTGCAACTCAATGTAATTTTGTTATTTTAGTTGCAGAAGTATTGTGGGAAAATAGAGCACATAAGAATGCCAACTGCAGCCGGGCTCGGTGGCTCAGCCTGTAATCCCTCGCTTGGGGAGGCTGAGGTGAGTGGATTGCCTGAGCCCGCGGGTTCGAGACCCACCTGGGCAACTTGGCAAGACCTCATCTCCACAATAAATCAAAAATTAGCCAGGCGTGGTAGCGCACGCCTGTGGTTCCGGCTACTCGGAAGGCGGAGGCGGAAGGATCGCCCGAGCCCAGCAGGTCGAGGCTGCGGTGGCCGCTTCAGTCTGGGCGACAGAGTGAGACTCCAACTCAAAAAAAAAAGAATGCCAACTGCAGGTGCTGGTGACGGAAATGAAAAGAAAAGATAAAGACATTTAAGAAAGTAACGTTTTTTAGCCAGAAGATAGTAGTTTGGGATAAAGAGTGACATTACTTATTGAGATCAATTTATGCTACTTTAGGCATTTTTGAGACATATTTCTTAGAATAAAGTCACAGAAAACTATGGAGGAAATATTTGGAAAACATTGCCTATTATAGCTAGCCTTTTGTGATTTACTATGCAAATTAGCATATTAAAAATCCCCTGCTATCTCCCAATAAAGAAACCTGTCTAGCCCAATGTTTTTTGAATTTAGATGACATTAGAGTTCTTTTCTCATGTAACACCTATTTAAATTTCACAGAACAGTGTTCTTCAGAACACTTTCTGGAGAATGCTGTACTAAGATAAAAAGTGCAATCAGCAATACGTAAAATTTTTTAGTGACGGGGTTATTTTTCACTACTTTATAAATTACTTTGGTCTTTTATCAGTAAGAAATTTCAGTCATTTTTACGGAAATCATAAATTCAGCAGTATTTATGGACTTGCAAATTTAAGACTATCTCATGCATTTTCTGCAAATAATAAGAGTCTATACATTTTTAGTACAAGCAGTTGGTATAAAAGAATCTTAAGGTATAAACACCTCGCATTTTACAAACAAGCATCTTACCTTAGTTCTCTCAACTTTATAAAGCTAATAATAACTACCAGATCTTTCACTTTCGGGGACACTGAAAAAACAAATCATAGTTTTGGTCCTCAATTTAGAGCATTACCTGTACTAATGAAGTCATCTGGAAGCTCGTTTCCACAGTATCTGAAAGGGAATTTTTTAAAAAGAAAGATCATAAGAATGACTATTATATAGAACTATTATATAAAACAATCTGTGCAAAAGATAATTTGAATCTACTTGGAAAAATTTAAAAATTGTATCTGAATAATTATATAAACTCCTCTTCACAGTTAAAGAAGAATGGGTGTATGGTTGGTGGTATTAATATTTTGAATTCTGCAGGGCGTGGTGGCTCACGCCTCTAATCCCAGCACTTTAGGAGGTGGAAGTTAGAGGATTGGCTAAGTCCATGTGTTTGAGACTAACCTGGGGAACTTGGTGAGACCTCTTCTCTACAATAAATAAAAAAAATTAGCCGGGCATTGTGGAGCACCTATAGTTTCAGCTATTTGGAAGGTTGAGGCAGAAGGATTACCCGAGCCCAGCAGGTCAAGACTTTGGTGGCTGCGAGCATGCCATCGCACTCCAGCCTGGACAACCGAGTGAGACTTCAACTCAAAAAAAAAAAAGTA